AACATGCACTATCTCATGTGAGTGACACAATGGTAAGTACTCAAGTGAGTGACACAACATGCACTATCTCAAGTGAGTAACACAACATGCACTATATCAAGTGAGTAACACAACATGCACTATCTCAAGTGAGTAACACAACATGCACTATATCAAGTGAGTAACACAACATGCACTATATCAAGTGAGTAACACAACATGCACCTATATCAAGTGAGTAACACAACATGCACCTATCTCAAGTGAGTGACACAACATGCACCTATCTCAAGTGAGTGACACAACATGCACCTATCTCATGTGAGTGACACAACATGCACCTATCTCATGTGAGTGACACAATGGTAAGTACTCAAGTGAGTAACACAACATGCACCTATATCAAGTGAGTGACACAACATGCACCTATCTCATGTGAGTGACACAACATGCACCTATCTCATGTGAGTGACACAACATGCACCTATCTCATGTGAGTGACACAATGGTAAGTACTCAAGTGAGTGACACAACATGCACCTATCTCAAGTGAGTAACACAACATGCACCTATATCAAGTGAGTAACACAACATGCACCTATCTCAAGTGAGTAACACAACATGCACCTATATCAAGTGAGTAACACAACATGCACCTATATCAAGTGAGTAACACAACATGCACCTATATCAAGTGATAACACAACATGCACCTATCTCAAGTGAGTAACACAACATGCACCTATCTCATGTGAGTGACACAATGGTAAGTACTCAAGTGAGTGACACAACATGCACCTATCTCAAGTGAGTAACACAACATGCACCTATATCAAGTGAGTAACACAACATGCACCTATCTCAAGTGAGTGACACAACATGCACCTATATCAAGTGAGTGACACAACATGCATCTATATCAAGTGAGTGACACAACATGCACCTATATCAAGTGAGTCTCAACGTGATAATAATGTGATCTGCAGTACTGAAGTTATAATACTCACAGAAAATAAGTTTGATTGTACATCAGTGATTTCCATGCAGTTGCCAACTTTGAAAGAAAGGTATTATACCGTAAACCATATTGGTTCATTGTCAAAGACAAATGTTTGGAGTCAGGTTGATCGAAATGGGACTAGTGTCATTCATGTTTGAGACAGTTCCGAAACATGTCTAGTTACAGTGACATACTTCAGATGTGTCCCATACATATTTAGGACACTTTATTAGCTCCACTGTCGACTTTGTCGAGCGGAGCTTATCATATGAGTGATTGTCCGTCGTCGTCCGTCGCCCGTCGTCCGTGTCAATGGTTTACTTTTTCGACTTCTTCTTGAAAACTACAAGCCTGAATGTTTTGATACTTGGTGTATATGTACCTTGGGTAGACCTCTCTCAGATTTGTTCATTTCATGATGATATCTTCAATTCTCTAATTTTGGTGAATATTTTTGTCATTTTTGGTAAAAAGTGATATTTTCAACTTCTTGTTAAAAAACGCAAGTCCAATTGCTTTGATATTACATATATAGGTACTACATGTGGACCTCTCTCAAATTTGTTCATTTCTTGATGATATCTTCAATTCTCTAATTTTGGTGAATATTTTTGTCACGTTTGGTAAAAAGTGATATTTTCGACTTCTTGTTAAAAACCACAATCATTTATGGTGAAAAATGATATTTTTGAATTCTTGTTGAAAACAGCAAGACCCATTGCTTTGATACTATACATATTGTTCATTTTCTAATGATATCTTCTGTTCTTTAATTAAAATGTGCATTGCTAACAGCGGAGCTATCTCTGCCGAGAGGCTGCTTATCTATTAGTTTGAAACTACCGTCGTATAATTTCGAACGACTGATGCAGACATTGCATTTTGAGACATGAATGTAGGCTTGCTACAAAAAACACACTGTAAGTACATGTTTGGATCTTGATTAAAACATTCCATTAAAATCTTTGTAAACATATCTGAAACATGTTTTAAACATATCCAAAATATAAACATGTTTCAGACACATTTCAAACATGAATACAATTAGTGGTCACAATGAACAAATACACTCTGACGTCAGTATGAAGACTCCTGACAAAATTTCCCAAATGAATTTTGTAGCAAAAGCCAAAACCCAATAAAATAACAAATGAAATAATGAAAATCATATTAATACATTGTAGACTGCATTAATCAAATAAATCTGATAATTAGAACATCAATGAGAACAGCACTCCCAAATGTGTTTGTATTCATTTCTATGTTGAACCTTTAAATCAAGTTGCTGCTGACAGGCATTGGTTGCTGACAATTTGGTATGATGATTGGCAGTTTAGTGGCAGAATATTATCATTATCTGAATCCCAATGTGCCAATGCTATCACAACATGTTTACTAAAAATCCAACTTCAGATCTGACAAAATCATGTTAGATATTGTGAGGCTTCATAGAATTATGCCCCACAGTGCACAGATATTCTTTTCGGGACATGTTTGAGACTAGTCATAATACAATAAAGCAAGAAAATTCTTATTTGCTATTTTGAAGAATGATAATTCATATTTTTTAATTTTAAGTGATACTGATAAGTTTATAAATATCAGAGAAGAAATGGTCCTTATGAATATTATACCTGACACTCTGAAATGAAATTTGTGTCTTCCACCAGCCAAATAATTTTATTGTCATTTCATTCTTCTTATATCATGCTTTCCAAAGTATGTTGTTTATGCAATAAATCTGTTGTTATATTACATGTTTACTAGTAGTACTTTGTCAATCTTAAACGTAAACTGTTTCAGATATACTAGTCAATGCAAATACCAAAAGCTGTACGCATAAACAAAATATTTGAAAATAGTTAACTGTGGTGGCGCTATTTGAGCACTTTGAGAGATTTTTAAGCTCGATAGGGAGTTCGCTTTGCCAGAACCCGGAAGTCACCGCGTGAACGTACGAAATCGTTTACGCGATCGAATAATAGGTGATTTTCCGTTCAACTGCGAGATCTCGCGAGATGCATGAAAGACGCGCGTCGAACGTCTGCCGCAAAAATCGAACGATTTGATTTTCAACTCGAATTTCTTTATTTCGTAGCTCACATCGACAAGCCGATCTTCGACAGAGGAATATTGATTCCGAATACCCACACTTAATCGAAATTGTCTATCATCAAATGTATACAGCACATTATTAAGCATGGAAATGCCCCCAAAATATTTTCGCGTTTATCGAATTCCACGCGATGTTTGACGCCACTACGACGCTATGACCTTTGTTTGTCCTGTTTTTATGTTCGATTTCACGCATAACGCGTGATTCTCGCAGTGTACGGAAAATGGTCTATTCCAACTGCGTCGTCATAGTCTGCATGGACGTTTTTACGTAATGAATTTGTAATTAACTTTTGTTAAGATAAGTTCCCATCTAAAATGGCTGATGCCTTCCTGCTGGGACTGCAGTTGTCCGAAGTAGAAATGCTGTCAAGTATGTTTCCAAAAGAAGAGGAATTCACTTTGGACAACCCTGCGATAGTTCACGAAGTCCGTGAATACGTTGAAGGACTGTCCAAAGGGGTACCCAGGCAGATTAGTTTCACGTTGAACACAGTCATAGAAGAACCATTTCAAGTAAGTTTCAACATTCGTCTACACTCTGATTTCAAATTTCTTTTTACCTTGCCCGTAAACATCAAAGATGGAAAGGTCACCTTATTCACCAGTATAAAGTCTTCCGTGAGTATGAACAACAGATGTCCTGTATGAAAATATCATGCAAAAATTGATAGAATATTTTGACTGTTTCTACTTGACCGATCACTGGTGATACACATTCAAAGATCACTGATCTCATTGAAAATATGCATTGTTGTATGTGTTCAATGAAGCAAATCATTTATCTTGTAATAATATCCTTGGTAATTATTTGTATCTCCCAAATCCCATGGGAATACTAGACTTGGTTTCAAAACAACTCATGGAGAGAGTTTTTGCACAGTCTGATACACATTTGCAAACCTAAAATCTTTACAGAAAACAAGATAAGCACTCCTATCAGCATGGATTGGGTGCCAAACTTTGATCAAGATCTGAAGCTAATAGAAAATCTGTTTTGTCCAAAGTTATTAAATCAAAAACAATACATAAAAAGCAAAACGTTGCATCCACATTTTGAAAAGAAAATTGTACTCAAAAATATGTATTCTGTATTTGACAAACAGTTCTACGTTGTCAACAAAACAGTCTTAATCCTGACTCAACTATAACTAGCGATGAGTGGCTAGATCATTTCAGCAAATTATATAACAATAATAACAGTAATGCTGATTTTAAGCAATCACTAAAATTATTAGAAGATACAAAATTATCTAACCATGAGTTAAAATATGTTATTTCATATAATGAAATTAAAAAGGCTATTAAAAATTTAAAAAACAAAAAATCAACAGCAGAAGACAGTATTTCAAATGAAATGTTAAAAACAAAAAATAGTCTGTTAATTCCATGTATACAAAAATTATTCAATTTTATTTTGGAGAGTGGCACGTATCCAACAAGTTGAAAATCCACCATCTTAGTACCAATACACAAATCAGGTGACAGATCAAACCCATCCAATTAT